CCCCAAAACCCCAAAACCCCAAAACCCCAAATTTTAACCATCAAATTGAAAGATATTTTAATTAGAAATCTTTGAGAAGATCCCGAGCACTTTCTAAAGTATTTAGTTGGGATATCCGGAACACAATCATTTTCAAATCTACAAGAGAAGGTAAGTCTAGAGGAGCAATAGTGAAAGGAGGGGTACATGCAGATGGGACTGATATTGATGGCATAGAAGGAAACTCCACTGCTATAAATCTTTCAGTATCTACTTCAGGACAGTTAATAAGAAGTTTATAAGCTTTCCCATCAGGCTCTTGAGATAATGAAATACTGATCTCAGTGCCATCCGTCACAATTTGTGTTACTTTTAACAAAGTTGTATCAAGTTTGATATTAAATTCTCCGATTGTGTGGTATTTTCCTGGTTGAATTTCTATTCATTCTTCTTCTATTTCTCTCATCATTAAAGTTACTGATCCAAGGTTAGTGGAGGACTGGAGGTGCTCCTGTTGTGCCAAGATCTTGTTCCTAATATCCTCACTTTTATTCTCGGTTTGTGATATAATTAAGTTCTCCTCACTGATTGATTTTTGAATAGAATTTTCTATCATCTGCAGTTTGTCAATAAGTCCTTGCAGTGTTTGTAATTGCTTAACATATATGGAACGGACCTCTTTTCTTAGCCCAGAATGGTACTCTGCTTTGGAACATTGAGCATATAGATTCTCATGCATTTTCAACAACTCAGAGCGTTTCTTTACAATTATAGTTGATATTTCTTCAAAAGAGTGAGTGCTGTGGCTCGCTGATCAGAGTCATAAGGTTCAGAGAATCTGTGAGCATGTTTTGCAGTAAATTCATCCAATTTTATTATGAGTGCCTCAGAAATCAAGGCTCTGTGAGATGTTAGTTGCTCGTTCATTAGAAGCAGGTTCATTGCTAGAATAGATCTCTATTATATCCTGCTGGAATGGCTGGTCAAGGAAGGCACCACAATTCATACCTTTTTCTGTCTCTTTTTTGTTCCTTTTCAATGGTTTTGATCTATTAAGACACTTTTTAATAGCTTCTTTGGATGATATTTGTTCTGATCTAGAATTATAAAAGAGGATTACCTTTGCCAAACTTGTAGTTCTTGGGTATCAAGCATCTTGGAACAGATGCACTCGGTTTCATTCTTCCCATCTATAAGTTTAGGATGATACTTTAGATTTAGATCAGGAATATAAGTGTTCTAGAATTAAGCGCAAATTTGAAGTTTAACTATGGTTTCAATGTTTCTGATAGACCACGGGGTTTTGGGGTTTTGGGGTTTTGGGG